TCTATATAATCACATTGTTTTTTAATTTTACATTGTTAATATTGAAATTAACATCTACATTGATGTATATTTGTAGAATCTTTAACTCATTGCGTTCAACATGTTGACAACTTTCATACTAATTGGAATAAAACAGCAGAAAGCACACTAGCTACATTAACATGCACTGGTGAATATACGGGTAATGTGTCAAGATACTGTAGTAGCGATGGAAAATGGCAAGAACCGAACTACAGCAACTGTTTAAGTAAACCTATCGAATATATCAAAGACAAGGTAAATAATGTATGTGATATGACTACATGCGTGCTTCCATACATGATAATTGTGACAACAAGTTAAATAATAATTTTATTTTGGTATCAAACATCAAACTTATAAATGTAGTAACTGTAGAATCCCAAGGATTTTTGAAAGAAGAATATATTGAATGATACCAAAAATATACGTGAAACCAAAATAGGCAGATAAACATGCCCTATTACTCATAAAAGAAGTGCAATCTAATATGAACTGGTAAATGCATGCTTGATTGTTCATCCGAAGTCAGGATAAGTTATAGTTTTAGCATGAATTTACTGCCACAAATCATCAAAATTATAGCTATGCATTCAGACTTGTACATATCGGTACAAATATAAGTTAACTTTGAAACCTGTCAAGCATTAAGTTAACTTACATTTGAACATCTCAAATTAAACCAGACCTGATCTAAATTAACGTCATGTTGGTCTGCTCAACATTAAGATAACGTGTAACCAGGACCTCTCTTCATCGATTTATAAAATAATTATGTCTTTCCACTATTCTGTGGCTTGTATAACAACATGAACAAAAGTAATTTAACCAAAACTGACCATATACATGATATATGCACTTTATTTAGTAAATTAATATGACCGCATAATTAATCATTTTGTTTTATGCCAGGATGGATTGTATAACACAAATGACAGCAAAATTGGAATACAAGTCTACAAACTTTTGTCCGCATTAATTCATAGTGCCAGGATGTAGTCTTTTTAATAAAAAAGAATGAATCGTAGCAAAATTGTAGTAGTTTTGTACCTCTCCCGACTTGTAACACACAATTGTTTGACGGCATCAACCAAAACTGACCACATTTGCGCTTTATTATGTAAATCTATATGGCATCATCATATATTAGTAATGTGTATTTTAGGATGGATTGTATAATACAAATGACATAATATTGGAACACAATGATTCAAAATGTTGTCCATATCAATTTGGGGTGCAAACCGTTTCTATTCAAAATATTAACTCGAAACAAAAACGCAGTAATCTTTATACCTCAGACTGGCTCGTATAAGAAATTTTCTGACTTCATCGACCAAAACTGACCATATTTGCACTCAATTATATAAATTTACACGGCTGCATTTATATGGCTGCATATTATATATATAAATAATTGTGTTTATGTCAGATGGATTGTATAATACAAATAAGAGCAATATTGAAACACATTGACTACAAAATTTTGTCCGCATCAATTTAGAATGCCAGCATCTTCTCTTTTTATAAAACATGTCAATGTTCAAAATGTTGACTTGCCATCCACAAATCAGTAGTTTTGATAACACAGGCTGGCTCGTATCACAACGTTATTTGACAGCATCAACCAAACCTAGACATATTTGCTCTTTATTATGTAATCTATCTGACCACATGAAATATTAGGTTTGTTTTTGTTATGCCAGGATGGATTGTATATTACTCGTAACTCAGACTTTTTTTTTCTCTCAATCGATTTATAACTTTTAGACAGCGGTATATTACTGTTGCATCAACTTTTTTTTTAACAAATGTCATCAATATAGGACACAACGAGTACAAAATACTGTCTGCATCAAATGAGAGTGCAATCATGTTCTCTTTTTTTCCAACATAATCAAATTATCGACTCGTCACCAAACAAAAACAGTAGTTTTGATATCTAAGCTTGGCTTGTATTAGACGAATATTTGAAGCATCAATTAAAACTGACAATATTTGCACTTTATTATGTCAATCTATAAATGCATAATAGATCAGTGTTGTATTTTTTGTGTAAGGAAAGACTGAATATAACAAAAAAGGGCAATACTGGAACACAATTATTACACAATTTGTCCGCTTCAATTTAAAGAGTCAGCTTACCCTCTTTTAATTCAAAATGTTCTACATATTGATTCGCCACAAAAAAATCAGTAGTTTTCAAGCTGGCTCGTATCACACAATAAATTAACTGCATACACTAAAACTGACCATATTTGCACTCTATTTAGTATATCTATATTGCCGCATGACAGCAATATTTGAACATAATGACTACAACCCTTGTCCGCATCAATTACAGTATTTTATTATACAAATAAAAACAATATAAGAATGCAATGAATACGAGATGTTGATCACATCAATTTGAAGTGCCATCATTTCCTTTATTCAAAATACTGAAGCGATCAATTTTATAGTCGCCTCATAATTCATTAATTTTGTTAACTCAGGATGGATTTTATTAAATACATGTCCATGATGACTAAATTATATTGCCTGCATCAATTTAGAGTGTCAGCGTCTTCTCTTCGTGTTTATTATAGTGAACCGTCCCTAAAGTCAGATTTTTATATTTCAGGATGGTTTGTATAACAAACATATTTGACCGCATCATCCAACACTGAAATAATTGATTATATTTATAATTTATAATGAACAGAATGAGAAGTTCTCGACTGGGAATAGTATATACTGACTGTAAGTATATTAGGTCAGTTGATTGATTTTGTTGGGAACTTAATGTCCAGGGTCAAATATTTAATTCATGTTCAGGACGAGTTTATTTTGTTCCGGACCTCTCATATATCATTTATATTCGGTACGATGAATCTGCCGAAATTGACAAGATTGTTCATACACGTAGTTTAAAACCCGAATTTGGTTTGGGTTTAGTTTGTAACCAATATTTGTTTTCTCTCAATCGATTTATGACTTTCGAACACTGCTGTTGACTTTTTTATTCACAACGTTGTATATATCCGGACACAATTTTCGTTTGAACATTTTGCCAAACACAGAATCGTAAATCCAAAGTAAATAGCATTGAATAATCTCTGTAATGTATCTTTTGGAAAATACTGTAAATAATGGGGAAAGAAGCAATTGAAACAATAATGTTTATATTCCATCATATAACAATATTTGTTCCAATGCGAAGGATATCCTTTTTAACCGCATTTCAATTCACATTCAAAATCAACATTGAAGAGTTTGGTATCCATTATTTAATTTATATAAGATTAGGAAATGGGAAAAAAAGAAATGTTTAATGTGCATTTAATATGTAAGCCTATACAAATTTAATCTAAAAATAATAAGAGTCAGGGGATTGATAGCTGGACAAAGTGTAAATATCGAATAAAACCCCATGTTTCATTTATAAAGAACTTACGTTTTTATCCTTGCACTTCTGAAGTCGAAGCAAATGATGGTTCAAAATGTATACATGTCAATCAACGTTGTTTCTTTAACTAAACATGTGTGTTACATTTAGTTTATAGACCACGCTGTGCTGGTACACTTGTATCTTATTGATTAATATCCCATATTTCGATAACTATATTTGTATCTGATTGCGTTTCTTCAGTCGAAGAATATAGTATTTACAATGTGAACCCTTCCAATATATCGTGTGCCTATATATATCGAGGGGTTATTGCCAAAAAATCGTATCTGAAAATGTACTCAAAATGGGTTAGTGTGCTTATTATATGGTGAACTGCATTATATATAATCCCTACAAATATAAGATCAATCAGATAATGCATTGATTTTTAATACGATAGAACAAAAATGTCTTATCTGAATTGAAATTAAAAGTCAAATGCTTAATCATTGCACCTAAAAATATTATAGAATGCAAAATAAAAATTAATTGTTAAATAACTTTTTTTTAACCAAACTGTATCATTTTGAAGTGTTATAATACATTTTTAGATTAATTTAGATGTACAGTATGCGCTAGCTAACAGTATGAACTGATAAAATTTGTTGGCTCTGCATGATACATAATTTATTTAGATGCAATAAAAACTTGCAGGGCTTATGTTCCAGATGTTTATTATAAACACACTGGTAAAGTGAAAAGAAGTCGTAAGCAAATATAAGTCGTTTTATTGCTGCAATTATAGTTTACAGAAAAAAGAAACTGATGTTGTTATGTAGTATATAATTAAAATTTTGATTGGAATACAGACACATGAACTGTAAATGGTATGTATATCTTTAATTATATTTAATTTAATTATGTGATTGTATTTTATCAAATGAATAATCCAATTAAGATTTCTAGTCAAATCTAGACGCCTGTTTTACTTGCCTTTTTAATCTTATACAACAAAATTTTTTATCTATTTGTTATTACGCTAAATATTTTTGAATTCGATAAATAAAAGTAAGAGTCATTATTTTTTTTAATCATTAGTTATCAAGCAAGAGTTTATAATATTTTTCTCTTATTGGAGGGGATATAAAAGAGGTTAATAATAAAAGTACAGAACTCTTAGGAATATTTAAATGAAAAGTTCCTTATCAAATAGAAACATCACAAGCCCACACACATACAAATGACCTTTTTCTCTATTTTCAGATTCAGAAGATCCAATGTATTTTAAGTAGTTGATGATGACTTAGATTAAACACCATCTAATTAAAGGTAAGATAAAGGAATGTTATTATTAATAAATCCAAATATCTTTGACACCAAGTCCGAATATAAGGTTGAGTCAAGCTATATTTGAGCTCTCAGGTGTTGTATCTCAATTAAATAAGTGTAGAGCATAAGTTCGAGGTTTCAAAACTATTAATGTCGTTCCTTTTTTTTTTTTAGATTATCAAGATGTCGGATTACCAATGGTCATCTGACGAGGAATGGTCCAATGAAATTACAGGTATGTCAGAAATTTCAAATGCACAACATACAACGTCAATATCAACATTAACTACAGATCAGCAAGAAAACACAGTAGTCAGAGATGAAATAGAAACAGGGACAACTACAGATCAGCAAGAAAACACAGTAGTCAGAGGTGAAATAGAAACCGGGACAACTACAGATCAGCAAGAAAACACAGTAGTCAGAGGTGAAATAGAAACAGGGACAACTACTGATCAGCAAGAAAACACCGTAGTCAGAGGTGAAATAGAAACAGGGACAACTACAGATCAGCAAGAAAACACCGTAGTCAGAGGTGAAATAGAAACAGGGACAACTACAGATCAGCAAGAAAACACAGTAGTCAGAGGTGAAATAGAAACAGGGACAACTACGGATCAGCAAGAAAACACAGTAGTCAGAGATGAAATAGAAACAGGGACAACTACAGATCAGCAAGAAAACACAGTAGTCAGAGATGAAATAGAAACAGGGACAACTACGGATCAGCAAGAAAACACAGTGGTCAGAGATGAAATAGAAACCGGGACAACTACGGATCAGCAAGAAAACACAGTAGTCAGAGATGAAATAGAAACCGGGACAACTACGGATCAGCAAGAAAACACAGTGGTCAGAGATGAAATAGAAACAAGGACAACTACAGATCAGCAAGAAAACACCGTAGTCAAAGATGAAATAGAAACAGGGACAACTACTGATCAGCAAGAAAACACCGTAGTCAGAGGTGAAATAGAAACAGGGACAACTACAGATCAGCAAGAAAACACCGTAGTCAAAGATGAAATAGAAACAGGGACAACTACAGATCAGCAAGAAAACACAGTAGTCAGAGGTGAAATAGAAACAGGGACAACTACAGATCAGCAAGAAAACACCGTAGTCAGAGATGAAATAGAAACAGGGACAACTACTGATCAGCAAGAAAACACCGTAGTCAGAGGTGAAATAGAAACAGGGACAACTACAGATCAGCAAGAAAACACAGTAGTCAGAGGTGAAATAGAAACAGGGACAACTACAGATCAGCAAGAAAACACAGTAGTCAGAGATGAAATAGAAAAAGGGACAACTACAGATCAGCAAGAAAACACAGTAGTCAGAGATGAAATGGAAACAGGGACAACTACGGATCAGCAAGAAAACACCGTAGTCAGAGGTGAAATAGAAACAGGGACAACTACTGATCAGCAAGAAAACACCGTAGTCAGAGGTGAAATAGAAACAGGGACAACTACAGATCAGCAAGAAAACACAGTAGTCAGAGGTGAAATAGAAACAGGGACAACTACAGATCAGCAAGAAAACACAGTAGTCAGAGATGAAATAGAAAAAGGGACAACTACAGATCAGCAAGAAAACACAGTAGTCAGAGATGAAATGGAAACAGGGACAACTACGGATCAGCAAGAAAACACAGTAGTCAGAGATGAAATAGAAACAGGGACAACTACAGATCAGCAAGAAAACACAGTGGTCAGAGATGAAATAGAAACAGGGACAACTACAGATCAGCAAGAAAACACCGTAGTCAGAGGTGAAATAGAAACAGGGACAACTACAGATCAGCAAGAAAACACCGTAGTCAAAGATGAAATAGAAACAGGGACAACTACGGATCAGCAAGAAAACACAGTAGTCAGAGGTGAAATAGAAACAGGGACTTCTACAGATCAGCAAGAAAACACTGAAGTCAAAGATGAAATAGAAACCGGGACAACTACGGATCAGCAAGAAAACACAGTGGTCAGAGATGAAATAGAAACAGGGACAACTACAGATCAGCAAGAAAACACCGTAGTCAGAGGTGAAATAGAAACAGGGACAACTACAGATCAGCAAGAAAACACTGAAGTCAGAGATGAAATAGAAACAGGGACAACTACAGATCAGCAAGAAAACACAGTAGTCAGAGATGAAATAGAAACAGGGACAACTACGGATCAGCAAGAAAACACAGTGGTCAGAGATGAAATAGAAACCGGGACAACTACGGATCAGCAAGAAAACACAGTAGTCAGAGATGAAATAGAAACCGGGACAACTACTGATCAGCAAGAAAACACCGTAGTCAGAGGTGAAATAGAAACCGGGACAACTACAGATCAGCAAGAAAACACTGAAGTCAGAGATGAAATAGAAACCGGGACAACTACGGATCAGCAAGAAAACACAGTGGTCAGAGATGAAATAGAAACAGGGACAACTACGGATCAGCAAGAAAACACCGTAGTCAGAGGTGAAATAGAAACCGGGACACCTTCAGATCAGCAAGAAAACACAGTAGTCAGAGATGAAATAGAAACCGGGACAACTCCTTATCAGCAAGAAAACACTGAAGTCAGAGATGAAATAGAAACAGGGACAACTACAGATCAGCAAGAAAACACCGTAGTCAAAGATGAAATAGAAACAGGGACAACTACAGATCAGCAAGAAAACACCGTAGTCAGAGGTGATATAGAAACAGGGACAACTACAGATTAGCAAGAAAACACAGTGGTCAGAGATGAAATAGAAACAGGGACAACTACAGATCAGCAAGAAAACACCGTAGTCAGAGGTGATATAGAAACAGGGACAACTACAGATTAGCAAGAAAACACAGTAGTCAGAGATGAAATGGAAACAGGGACAGCTACAGATCAGCAAGAAAACACAGTAGTCAGAGGTGAAATAGAAAAAGGGACAACTACAGATCAGCAAGAAAACACAGTAGTCAGAGATGAAATAGAAAAAGGGACAACTACAGATCAGCAAGAAAACACAGTAGTCAGAGATGAAATAGAAACAGGGACAACTACAGATCAGCAAGAAAACACCGTAGTCAGAGGTGAAATAGAAACAGGGACAACTACGGATCAGCAAGAAAACACAGTAGTCAGAGATGAAATAGAAACAGGGACAACTACAGATCAGCAAGAAAACACAGTAGTCAGAGGTGAAATAGAAACAGGGACAACTACAGATCAGCAAGAAAACACAGTAGTCAGAGGTGAAATAGAAACAGGGACAACTACGGATCAGCAAGAAAACACAGTAGTCAGAGGTGAAATAGAAACAGGGACAACTACAGATCAGCAAGAAAACACAGTAGTCAGAGGTGAAATAGAAAAAGGGACAACTACAGATCAGCAAGAAAACACAGTAGTCAGAGATGAAATAGAAACAGGGACAACTACAGATCAGCAAGAAAACACAGTAGTCAGAGGTGAAATAGAAACAGGGACAACTACTGATCAGCAAGAAAACACCGTAGTCAGAGGTGAAATAGAAACAGGGACAACTACGGATCAGCAAGAAAACACAGTAGTCAGAGATGAAATAGAAACAGGGACAACTACTGATCAGCAAGAAAACACAGTAGTCAGAGATGAAATAGAAACAGGGACAACTACTGATCAGCAAGAAAACACCGTAGTCAGAGGTGAAATAGAAACAGGGACAACTACAGATCAGCAAGAAAACACCGTAGTCAGAGGTGAAATAGAAACCGGGACAACTACGGATCAGCAAGAAAACACCGTAGTCAGAGGTGAAATAGAAACAGGGACAACTACTGATCAGCAAGAAAACACCGTAGTCAGAGGTGAAATAGAAACAGGGACAACTACGGATCAGCAAGAAAACACCGTAGTCAGAGGTGAAATAGAAACAGGGACAACTACAGATCAGCTAGAAAACACCGTAGTCAGATGTGAAATAGAAACAAGGACAACTACAGATCAGCTAGAAAACACCGTAGTCAGATGTGAAATAGAAACAAGGACAACTACAGATTAGCAAGAAAACACAGTGGTCAGAGATGAAATAGAAACAGGGACAACTACAGATCAGCAAGAAAACACCGTAGTCAGAGGTGAAATAGAAACAGGGACAACTACAGATCAGGACATGAAATTAGAAAACAAAAAGGGGCATCAAATGACAATAAACAGATTTCAAAGTTAAAAAAGGAAGAAGGGCTACCTGCAAAACCAAAAAAATTAATAAACACCACTAAGATTGTTCCAGAGGTCAGAAAGAAAATATCAAGCCAAATAAATCCTCCATCTGAAGTGTCATCTATGTTAGTTGATACTGAATTTCAAAGTAGTGACGACGACATACCATTGACGCAATTAAGACCGCAGTTCATTACAGATAAAAACACTGAACACATTGAAGTTGACCACGATTCTTTGTATGACAGTGGTGACTCATACAAACCCTCAAAAGATGAGTATAATAGCAGTGATTCCAACTTTGTCTCTCCCTGCAGCTGATTCTGAAAGAAGTATGGAAGATTTGATGTTACAAGGGAATAAGAGAAAAAAGATTCTTAAAAAGAAACACACCAAAACGATTTTGAAGAAAACATTTAGAGAGAATACTTCAAAACCAAAATATTGCCTCACTGAGTTTGACAAGAACTTGGAAAATCACTCCGTAAATAAGAACACACAAGAAAATACAAACACACTTATTTCAACCATAAAAGCAGGAGCAACAAGTATTCAACAAGATCAAGATGAAACATTCAAAGACCTTGCAACATTCCATCAAAATAAAATGGCAGATGAAATTCAACAAACTCAAAGAGAATCAACAGACCAAGTTGATGACATTGCAATCTACACAGCAACACAAATGAGTGTACAGGAAGCAGCATTCAATGAATTTGTCATGAATCATCACGAGAAAAAACTTGACGATCTTCTTTTCTTGAACGGATATGAAAGGAAGTCTGTAGCCCCAGATGGAAACTGTTTTTTTCAGTCCGTATTGCATCACAATTCAAGCCCTGATTCAGTTCAAAATTTCAGGCAAACAATATGTAATCACATCACTGACAACGCTGATGAATATGTTGGATTTTTTGCTGTTTCAGACATGTCAGAATCATTTGATGAAGACATTGCCTGGATCGACTTCAGACAAGAGGTGGACTCACTAGCTGTCAATGGTAGTTGGACAAGCAAGGCAGCTGCTCTTCTGCCACTTGCCGTAGCAAACTGGAGTGGAAGAATTATCAAAATCTTTACAAGGTTATCTCATAGACCAATTTTGGATATAACATTGAACCAAGAAACAAAAGACGATCCAATCACTTTGGCTTACATTTCATCCGATAATACCACTATTTCTGAACACTATGATGTCTGCACTAAAATTCGTAAAAAGAACGAGTTTATTCCTAAGGTTAGCGAGCTCGAGTTAGAAGATGAACAAAAACAGCAAGAAGGCTTGGCCGTTCCAGATGAAAATATAATGAGGGGAAATGAAACAACTGAAGACAAAAACGATAGTCAGGACACCGAGAAAGAATATGATTCATTTTATCAAAGTCCTAAAGATGATAGCATTTAAGAGCCTTGTAACACTCAACATACACCAAAGAAAAAAGATAGACCTAAAGGAACACCACCAAGAAAAGCTCCGAATTTTATTACACCACCATAAAAGTCTTTATTTAGAAAACGGAAAGCGACCCCTGAAACATGGAAAAAGAATATTATGAAAAAACTGAGACTTTCAGGAAAGGAGTATATTTCAGTGAAAGGGACTGTTGTTGAAGAAAAAAAAGTAAAACCTGTAGACTGTTCAAAATGCACTTTTAAATGTAATTTAGGCATAGACGACGAGCAAAGGCAGCAAATTTTCAAAACATTTTGGTCTCTGGATACAAACGACAGAAAGAAGGATTTTATCATCACTAACACAACGCAAAAGAAAACCAGAACATATTTAGATGATAACAACGAACGTGTTAAAAAAAAAGAAAAATGTTCACAGATCGTACTCACTAAACGTTGATGGAAACCATGTCAAAATATGCAAGAAATTTTTTTTAACAACTTTAGGGATCAGTGAGACCTTTGCAAGCAATGCATTGCAGAATCAACAAGATGGCGTTTTTATTGGAGAAGATAAACGTGGCAAATATATGCCCCACAACAAAACAACCAATACAGCAATGGAATTGGTAAGACGACACATAGAGTCCTTTCCGGTAGTAGATGGACATTACACTCGCAAAGATTCAAACCGGAAGTATTTAGGAGCAGACCTGAATATAAAACGAATGTACGAATTATACATAGTACAATGTAAAGATCAAATTCCTGAGAAAGACATTGTCTGTCAAGCTGTGTATAGGAAAATTTTCAATGAAGAGTATAACTTTTCTTTTCATGTACCAAAAAAGGACCAATGTGCAATTTGCACAATCTATCACCAGCGAAACAATGAAAGAACTCTTACAAATGATATAAAGAAAGCATACGATGAACATCAAGAAAGAAAAATCAAAGCCAGGGAAGAAAAGAAAAAAGATAAAGAGTCAGCAAAGAGTTCACCTGAACTTTTTGTGGGCACATTTGATCTGCAAGCAGTATTGCAGACACCATGCAGCTTAGTTAGTCAACTGTATTACATGAGAAAGTTAAACTGCTACAACTTGTCCATTTACAATTTGGCAAATAATACC